GCAAAAAATTGTAAAATGCAAATCAGTAAATGTGTCCTCAACAACTACTTCCATGAAGTATGTTCCATGTTCTAGATACAATTACTATAAAAATGCAGAACAGAAAACAACAGAGTAAATCTTGCAGTTGTTGAGATACTAGAAGTCACAAAGTGCTACACCTTCATTTTAAATAGGGGGTACTGAGACTAGAATGGTTAAAAGGTTTGCCCAAGTTCAATGTTATGACTAGGAAAGACCTAATTTTTTAATATTAGTGAAGATAAAAAAAAGTCACACAGAAATGAAGCTACCCCAGAAGCCAGAGAGTAAGAAAAAAATTAAGCTGGAGACAAAATTAAACTACATTTACACTTCTTAGCATATGTTAACATTTATTTATTTTATAAATTTATTTCATAATAAATTTGAACCAGAATGATTAAAAATTTAAAATAATAAAGTTATTTTTAAAATTCAGAATAAAATTTAAGGTTTTTTATGTTAGGATAGGAAGGGACTTTCTATGCATAAATGCAGAAAACATTTTAAAAGCATAAATTTAAGTTAAACCTGTCAAAAACAGAACAATATTTAAGAGCAAACAACTGGGAAAATATCTGTACCAATGACAGATAATAGATGAACAGCCTTATCATATGCAGATCAATTAATAACTACAAATCAACAAACAGTAACAGCAAASACTCCAATAGAAAATTAGGCAAAGGACACCAAGCAGGTAATTCAAGAAGAAAATTAAATGATCAAAACACATTTTGAAAAATGAAGATTGTATTATAATTTTTAAAATGCTAATTACAAGATGTCATTCTTGATTTAACATATTAAAGATTAATACTAACTCTTCTCAATGCTGGTAAAAGTTGCAAAGATAGACACTCCCATGCTCTGCTAGTAGTAGGATTAGTACAATCTTTTTGATAGTAATTTGTCAATACACATCAAAATCTTTCAAAACATGAATACTCTTTGATTTGAAATAGCTAGTGGTTGACAAAGTGTGGATGGACTCCTGGAATCACTGAGACCCTCTCAGGGATCTAGTAGGTCAAACTATTTTTATAGAAATAGTAAGATATTACTTGCCTTTCCCCCTATATTGACATTTGAACTTACAGGGTAAAATAACTGTGGGTAAGACTGCCAGTTCCTAGGCCAGAGCACTATAATTGCATTAGCAGTCACTATGTTCTTCACCATAATATATTTGCAGAGGGAAAAAAAGGAAGAAAAGAAGGAAGAGAGGGAGTGTCTGCTTCACTTAAGAATATTCACTAATTATATTAAATCTTGTCCTTTTAAAATTCTATATGACAATAAGTAAATACAAAGCACATTTACTGCATATTGAAGTATGACAGTTGTCTCAGGGGAAAGCACTTGTATGATTGTTTGAGTGCTGAACTAGCCACTTTTTCCATTGCATTCAATTCTTTCTTCAATGAACAATGAACAAAGTATGATTATTCAGATTTGGGTATCTGGCAGACATTTTCTCAAAAATAAATGACGTGAGATTGTCACTTCCAGGAAAACAACTGATAGCATTTGTTGCGAATGATAAAATTTGAGCTTTCAAGGGAAAATTCAAATATTGGAAAGCTCATATCCATCACTATAAGCTTGACAGCATCAGATCTTACAGACTTCTGATGAGACCAGTGACACTATTAACAAATGTGATTTTTTGATATTGTATAATAAAAGGTGACAAAACTTAGAAGATTCTGTAAGAGTTCACAACCAATATTTTTCAAATGAACAATGCATGATGATAAAGATCATGCATGGGTAAAAGATCCATTCATAGTTCACAACAGGCTAGAGGATTATAATACAAGAATGTGAAAAGTTCTGATTCAGGTTTTGGATTCCACTTTGCAAATGACCTTTTAAAAATACTATCTGTTGCCAGGTACAGTGGCACAMACCAATAATCCTAGAGACTCCCTAGAGACTCAGGAAATTAAGGCATAAAGATCAGAAGTTTAAGACCAGCCTCAGCAACTTAGTGATCCCCTAAGCAACTTAGGTAGACCCTGTCTCACAATAAAAAATAAAAAGGCCTGAGGAGGCAGCTCAGTGATAAAAATGCCTCTGGGTTCAATCCCCCATCACCAATGAATAAATAAATAAATAAATACCATTTGTTGGATTTTGTATAATATCAAAAATATTCACAGTTATCTATAAAGTCTATTGTTGTTCCCTTTTCCAACTATATATCTGAGACCAAAGTTTTCTAATATTCTTTAATCAAATACAATATAACAAGTTGAATGGCAGATGTTTTTCTTTATTAAGGCAGGAGTTAAAGAGTTGTAAAAATGTAGGCCAATGTCATTTGCTCAATACTTTTTTTAAATTATGGTTATTATTCATAAAAATGTTAGCAAGTAATAAGTTTACTGCTTTTCAAATAAATTAATAAATATTTTTTAATTTCTCAGTTTTAATTTATATTTTGGTAAATATCTACAGATAAAATCCATATAAACAACAGTTCTTTTGTTCACATTTTTATAGTGTAAAGGGATCTGGAAACCAAAAGGGTAAKAATTTATGACATGGTCATTTCCCAACTTCTAGAAGCCTAAAGAAGACAATCAGATTTGATATTGTATATGTACAAAAAATAAAAATTATGTTAAAAGTTAGAAAAACAAAACATTTGAATGCAACAATAAGGAACTGGATAATAGAACTAAAATATAATATTATTGGTTACTTGGAATAATTTTTGAAGAATTTTTAAACATGAGGCATGCTCACATGCTCATAGTGTGTTGTGAAGGGAATAAGATCTACAAACTAAATGAGCAAAGATAATGCACTAAAAAATAGACTAGAAGAAAAAAAAGACTAGAACTCCAAGTATGTGAATGCCATCCACCAAGAAAATAATTGCTATTGTTATTATTAATATTAAAGCTAAGTATATATTAATATTAAAGCTACACTTAGCTAAGTATAGAACACTAATCTAAGAGGGGAAAAAAACTGTATTCTAGGCACTGTTTGGTCATTAAACATCTCTGGGATATCCTTGGGGTGAACYCAGAAGCTTGAGCAAGCAAAGCAAGCAAGCATTCTACCATTGAACTACACCTTCAGTCCTTCCCTGGAATTTTTGACATTGTCTAACCTCTACAAGTTATCAAAAATTATAATGAGATCCTTACCTAACCAACGTTCTCAATCTAAAGCCTGCTCAAAACCTTTTCAACACTAAGTAAAAGAGTGCTGCAATGAAAATTGATTGAAACCAACTCCAAAATCATGCTACAGAATTCTGATCCAACCTATTAAATAGCTCATTAATTCTTTCTTTTGCAAATTAATTTGACTTATTTAAATAAATTTTCCTGTAGAAAGAGAATGAGTTATCCCCTAAATAGTATTTGGGAGAAGTAAAAATTATTTGGACATATCATAAATAAGAAAGAAAGGTCATAAAAAAATAAGCAAGATAGTATGGTATCCCATATGCTGCTCTGAGTACTGGGGAGGTTACTTCTTATAGAGAACACAGGAATTTGCTATGGGGAAAAAAGACAGAAAAAAGAAAGAGAAGGAAGAAAGAGAAAGCAAAGCAAAAATACAAAGTAGTAATATATGCACATAATGGGACCAGAATATTAAATAAATAAATAAATATATATATATATATATATATATATATATATATATACACACACACATATATATACACGCTCTATTCTAAAACTGCCCAGAAATATCTATTTTTTCGCTTGACTGATCAGCCTTCACCCATTTCTTTGTTCATGAATAAAACTGGCAACTGTTAATGATAGAAAATCAGATTCTAATTTGTCAATTTTGTTCCCTGTTAGCAAGTCTGAAAAATCCTAAAGACTATAAAGGGATAAATACTGCCCTAAATTCAATCTGGGTAATATTGGAGAGAGACTCCTTCACTTTATAGACTAGGAAAATCAGTTCAACAGAAAACTGAGGTAATAAAATACCTTCAATTTGTGTTTCAATTTTTATCAAAACACCTATCATCCAATCACTTCTATTTCCTTAAAAAACAAATAAACCAACCACATGTATAGTGATGTCTAGTCAAGAGCTATATATCAGACAGGAAAGTCCTCATGAAGGGATAACCATGCTCAAGGCCCCAAGGCCATAGAGCAAAATGGTATAGGTTTGGAATTGGTTTGGAGTTCAGGAAAAAAAAAAAAATACACAAAAATTTTATGCTTTTAACTTCATAAATACAATAACCTGGTTGTCCTGGTTCTTTGAATAATGATCCGATCYGTTTCCTTTAAAATAAGGAATCTATATCATATAATTCTTAAAGTCTTAGAACATTGGATAATCTTAAAATCACTGGGGGAAAAAAAGAAGTGGAGTTTAGGGGAGGAGAGAAATCAGAATATGTACACATATGAAAAAAAAAAAATTCAGATCTAGTTGTTCAAGTGTCCAATGACTTAAAGTGGAATCCCCTGGGGTACTAGTCTCTGAGTGTACCAAGCACCCTTGAGATCACTTAATTGGGTAGTCAACATTGTGAGCTAGTCAAAGGGTATGAGGCCCCTTTAGGCCTGTACTCCCTTGTTTGTTTCCAGTGCCCAACTGAAAAGTGGTCCTCCATTTATTCCTTTTGAATTTACAATTCATTATGTCGCTTTGTGAAGCCTCTGTCACCCATCTTCCATTGCTAGTTTCTGTCAAGTAACCACTGGACATTTAGGAAACACCTACTATGTGTGCCCACCACCTAACACATATCAAGTAAGTATTTGTAGACTTGAATTTAATTGCAAGCCCTTGGGAGGCTTCAAAGGACTCATCCATTAAGAGTTTTGTGAGGAAGGCAAGTGAAAAAAACCTTTTTCACCATCCTTGATCTCCTGACACTTGTGTTACTCCCCACTCATGTATGACACGTGGTTCCTAAGAGTGACTGGACACAGCTGCTGCAGGCAAAAGGCTCCGAGAGGGGAGAGAGGGGCACTTACCTGGGGAACCTCTGCTTCAGCTTCCTCAGGCTCTGCCTGGTGGGCGGTACAGACACTAGGCACTGGGCTATCTCGTCGTACTGGGCTTTGGTCAGTATCATGTTGGGCCAGGGACCAGGAGGAGGCGGGACAAGGAAACAACACCCTTGGGCCCAAGCAGCCTTGGCGCCGGGAGATGTGGGGGTGGACGCACCGCGGCAGGGCCCAGGGTCCTGGTCTTCTTTAGTTGGGTCCTAGCCCCCCCCCCCCAAAGCACACCCCAAAGTAGCACAGGAGAAAAGGAGACTCGCCGTGTCCCAGGCTTCACCCGGCACCTCCGCGGCGGGGGCGGGTTGTAGACGTGATTGCCCTGGCAGAGTTTACTGAGCAGGCGCAGTGGGCCAGGCCGAGGCAACTCGYCGCCATGTCAGGTAAGGGCACGCCAACCAGGAAGTAGCAGCCGCCGGCGTGGAGGGCACTGCTTCTGGGTCTAGGCAGCAGGTATGCTCAGCGTCGCCCACCTGGGGTGGATCGCTTCTGCTCACGGAGTTCACGCCCCGCCTGTTGCAAAAAGCCAGGAARGCCTCTCTCACGGGCCAGGAAGAAGGCTTGTGAGTGCTCTGCCAGCCGTCAACTTGAGTCCCGAAAGCCTCTGCCAGAGCGCGTAATTTGAATGTGTTCCCAGTCGCTGCGGTTTAGGTGCAGCCTCAAGCAGGGCCCAGCCTGCGAAGAAACGTCCACACTCTGTGTTCATGAGCCGAGCTGTAAACTGCATTTGCGTGCCTTAAGTATACAGTTTGGATTCTTGAGTCCATTTGTTGGCGTGTTTGGGGAAAGTCCTATAACTTCTACAGTTCGCGTGGAAGGCAATTGGTCCTTGGTGGGATACCCGACTTAAATATTACATCAGCAGACAACAAAGGACACTAAAGAATTACTTTCACTCCCTACAGTTAGAGGCTCGAGGACTAAAATCATATCTTGTCTTCCTAAACCTAGATCTCGGAAAACAGACATCCAATAATTGGAAAAATGAGTCACTGAGTAATCCTTTGTTTTCTATATGTGCTGTGAGTGGATCTCAGCCCCCCTAAGGCAATTTATTGGAACACCAGCCCCTCCTTTAATCCCTTTTAAGAAATTAATTTGATTCTTGAGTCCATATGTTGCCCTTYTTCACTTTAAAATTTAACATTTAAACAAATGAAAGAAAAAGCACTTAGCTTTTAGAAAACATGTAAGTGGTTTGAAGTCTTTTCATATGGAATAAAGTGTGGGTTGGAAGTTTAGCTTAGATATGCTTCATTGGATAAATTCCTTAATCCACTGTGGCCTCAGTTACTTTGTCTATAAAATTGATTTTTCATTCATGGGGGTGTTTTGAAGATTAAATAAGGTAGGACAAGTAAGGATTGCTTAGCATAATGTTCAGCAGATAGTCTAAATAAAGTAAACCAAGTAAAACTACTTGATAAAAATGGACAGGGTGTTTACTAGATTTTGTTTTTCAGACTTCCCATGTAAAACTCACTTAATCCTCATAACTTCCTGTGATGCAGTTTTTATTGCCTTTATCATTCCCCTCCTCCCTTTTGTACAGAGTGAATAAAGTAAGGCATGAAAAGGTTAAGGAACTTTCCAGAGGTCATGAGAAAAAATAAGAAGCTGGGGTAAGGATTAAACTCCTAAAATTTGGTTTCAGAGTCTATGGTCTTGCCAACTCTCAGCAATTAGTACCCAAATAGTATACTCTCCTAAGCCCAAAGGTTAAGGATTTTTTTTTTAAAGAAATACTTTACATTTTGAAGAATCTTTTAGCTGAGATTTTAAAAATTAAAATTTCACCACTTTATTTTCTCAGGCATCCTGAATTCAACAACCATCATTTTTTTTCCTGAATATTTACATCAGCATGTTTTCTTCCCATATGCTTTGCATCTAACTCTGGTTGTGTGACATTAGTACATAACTATTTATTTATGGCAGCATGGCCTGGAGTTGCCACCTGGCTAGTTTGTTGCTGACCCTGCCATGACTTTTACATGAAAGCTAGCTGACAATAAGCAGACACCACTTGATACCCCCATTCCTTTCCCCTTTGCAACTTTACTCTTTCCAATTCACAGCCATCAGACTTTTATAGAAAACATCAGTTCAAGGATGTTTGTGCTAGTTATTTTTATAGCAACTCTTCTTTCTGGCTCTTATCCTGTATTCACCCTCACAACCCTTAAGGAAAATGCCAGGTTTGTTTTCTGTTTTTATTTTTAACATGCTGACAGTTTACAATCTTGACCCAAATCCAGTAGATTGTTTAGAGTTAGAGCTGGGAGAAAAGCACAGTTACATTGCTGTTTTCATTGGCAGTGACAGTAGTGTTGTTTATTAAGCACAAAACAGAAGCAGAGCAGAAATGTTTGGTTGTTATTTAATTGGTTTCATTTTTCTTACAATGTAAAATGGTTGGGGTTAGCCAGTTAGCCCATTGAGGCAGCCTTTCTCCCTCCCTCATTCTTCTCTGTCTTCCTCCCATTTCCCATTGTACTCAATGCCCCTCATATGCTATTACKTTTTTAGAGTTGCTTCTGCATGCTTGAGTCCCCCCTTCCCCGTTTCTCAGTCAGCCAGCAATATGATTTCCCCACTTAGTGAAATAGGGTTGTGAAATAAAAACACAAATACCCCAACGAATTGACTACTGTTTAAAATCAGCCATGAAATGTGTCACCTTAAGCAACTGACGGCCTTTCCAGTCCTGAATGTTCTCAGTGTAACTCCAAGTCTCCTTCTGAAGGAGAGAAAAAAAAGCTGATAATAGGGAAAAGGTATAGGAAGCAAGACCAAGAAAATATGTCAAAGTGGGGACTAATACAGTTGGCTGGAAGAACAACTTATAGCCCGGAAAGACAGATTGTGGGGGATGGGCCAGAGAACTCCTCTGCCAATTCCTAGACAACATGAATGCTGAACAATTTTAAAGGAATATGGGGTTTGGCAGAGAGGTATCAGAGCATCATTTCAACAAGCATGCTAACACAAGAACTAAAAATAAGAATGACCCAAGTCACATGCCTGGGAAAGTTATTCCTACTGGAGTAAAGAGTTCTAGGCAGAGTGAAAGGAGTTAAGGATGTTCAACCTTGGAAAGAATCAGCCACACTTTCAAACAGTCTGCCAAATCCAATGCATGTTTTAAGAAATACTGACATTATTATTTTTATTATTCTGTAAAGTCTGATTCTATTCATGGAGACTCTGGTAGTTATTACACTATTTTAAAGAAAAGTCATTGAAATTTACTGAGTAAAGAAAAAGAAGGATGCTAAAATTATTTGAGCACCTATGATATGCAAACATTATCCCATTATGCCTTATCTCACTTGATCTTCCCAATTTCCCTATGCAGCAGACCTTATAGCCCCTAGTTCATAGACTAGGAAAGTGAAGTTCAAAAGACATGCCTAGCTGTTAAATTGCAAAACCATGACTTGAACCCAAGTTAGTATGACTATAAAATCTCCTGTTATCTATTAAGCTGTACTGTAATTCAAAAAGGATTTGAAAACTCTTTAAATTCTTCTCAATAAAGCATCTGTTCTCTGAAATAGCCTGCTACCTTCTTTGGCCACCAGAATGCCTGTTGAAGGGGCAGTCACCTTTAATTTTGACGATTAGCCAAAACACACTTCTAAAAAGTTGGCCACTTTTCAGGCATTGRGATTGTGGCTCAGCGGTAGAGTGCTCTCCTAGCACATACGGGGCACTGGATTCAATCCCCAGCACCACATAAAAATAAATAAAATAAAGATATTGTGTCCAACTACAACTAAAATAATAATAATAWTTTTTTTTAAAAAAGTTGGCCACTCTTACTAGAAAAGATTGGATGGATTTTCTCTGTTCTTTGAAGCACCACCTTAATTGATGCATCTTTGRAAACCAAAGTTTAGGTCTCTAGACTTGCCATCCTTGAGAGACAAGTCATTTTATACTGGTCCTAAAGAAATAAAAGCTCTTAGTAAGCAATTAAGATCAGAATAAAGCAGTTGTTGAGGCTTGCAGCAATTACTCAATTTAATGACTTGTAGAAAACCTACAGAAGGACGTTCCACACTATAAGGTGGAGCAGTTACACTGAAAGGTCAAGGAAGACCAAAAGCCAAATGTTGGTTCCTTCATGCAAGTCGGTGGTAAATGAACTCTTGGTCTATGAAACCAGGTGGCCTAATTCCTGAGAAAGGTCACATGATGATGGGAGCATTCACCAAGACCTGTTTCAAACAGAAACTGGGTCTCATGGGCACATAATTCAGAATGGYGCCTCCTCAAGTCTTTGTTATTCAATAATACTAAAATTTAGCTAATGTTTGAGGGGCACTTACCAAAAGCAGGAAATATGCTAACGACTTTATGTTCATATATCTTCTCTTAATTCTTAGATCCAGCTCTACAAGTTAAGCACTGTTATTAAATCTCCTTTCCAATTAAGAAAACTAAGGCAGAGAGGGGTGGTTTCTACTTACTTCATTAGTTATTATACAGCATACTAGAATAATGTTTCTTAAATTCTGTGTTGGGAACCTAGTTTTCCTTCAATTTGTCATGGACAAATAGTTAAAATAAGGCAAAAAAATGAAATTTACAAAGACATATAAAGCACAAATCTACAGTTTGTTATTTTGAGATTTAATAGAATATAATTAGTTCATCAAATTAAGATAAAAGGCTATATTTGCTTATTCTCAATTTCTGCACTTACTACCTCAAAAAGTTTGCAGATCAGTTCTGGTTTGCTGACTGTGTTGTAAGTTGCACTATACCTTGGATATATGCAAAGGAAGAATGCTGATTTCAAAGTCTAGAACCTCACACTTTTCAAGTGTTCTTAGAAGAGGAGTATAACCTGTTTCTTTTAGACCTCTGAGCACCAACCATTACTACTATTATCATTATTCTACTGTATTTAGTTCTTCTTAAGTGATGTATACTTATTAAGGTCAATAGTACAAGTCGTTATAGCCTATTTAATTTGTACCCTATGAAATTAACACCATGTGTTTTCATAAAATCTAATTTCTTCTGTAGATTATAAACCTGTCAATCAGAGCACATGTATGTCTTTTGCTTTGAATCACATTCAGAACACTATTGGTGCATGATAAAGCCTCTTAATCAGCATTTTCATATTAACWATCACCACATTTGACAAGGATAAGGACCAAAGTACTATTTTTATGGGAACAATTTCTCTTGGGTGTTTGTGTGTTATAACAGAAGGAGATATGTGACTATATTGGTTAGAGAAAGACTGAAGCCTCTTAAATTTTCTCCTCAGGCTCATCAGGGACTTGTGGATAATTTGCAGGCAATTTGTATCCCTTTTTCCTGCA